AGTTTAATTTTTAATGTCAACGTCTTTGCAGTCAAGTTAAAAAAAAAAAGAAAAATAATTTTGTATAGATGGTGAGATGGAAACACGGAAGATTGAATTCATATAAAGGCCAGCCCCCCTTTCCCACACACACAAATCCATCCCAAATGAGAGAGGGTGAGATAGAGAGGGTATAGTGATAGATGGAGAGGGTAGAGAAAGGGGAATAGTTGGGGGGAGAGGAAGAGAGGGAGGTAGAAAAAGAGAGAGAAAATAGTCTCAAATCATACTTGAAGGAAGGGTAAAGAGGAAACGTAATTGATGGAGGGTGATTTAAAGTGAGAACGCTCAGTATTTGTCTTTTCTCGAACAAATCTGGGCTGTGCAATATTATACAATTATAGAAATGCACGTGTCATAAAAATGAAGGGGAAAGGGCCTTTCAAAGTGTTGTAAGGTAGGAGCCCCCTTGCTGGCACATCTTCTCCTATCCTGTACACTTGATCACCGAGTCATGTTCTTCTATGGCACGTAAGAAAGCCGGGATCGTCTGCCTTGCGCGAACACCACCACGCTTCCGACGTCGATGAGGAAGAGACTGGCCACGCTGAGGTAGAATGAGTAGCCGAGGTAAGGGTCATGGAAGTCCCGCTTGGCCTTGCCGCCCCAGACACACATGCAGATGATGATGAAAACAACTGCAAGAGACAGAGTTCAAATGATAAAACTATGACTGTAAGAGAAATGACTGAATTTAACTGTAAGAGAGATAACTGAAAGTAACTGTAAGAGAGATAACCGAAAGATGAAAGTAAATGTAAAGAGAGATGACTGAAAGATGAAAGTAACTATGAGAGATGACTGAAAGATGAAAGTAAATGTAAAGAGAGATGAAAGTAACTAAGAGAGATGAAAGTAACTTAAGATTAAGAGAGATGAAAATAAATGTAAGAGAGATAAAAGTAACTGTAAGAGAGATAGGCTGGAGATGAAAAGATTAAAATTAGTCATTAGTTTAATATTAGAAGAAGTTTTTAAAAAAAACTTATTTTGTTAGCTCTTACAGAGTGGGCATCATTAATAAGTCTCCCCATCCCCCCCCCCCCAAGAGATAGGCTGGAAATGAAAAGATTAAAATTAGTCATTAGTTTAATATTAGAAGAAGTTTTTAAAAAAAACTTATTTTGTTAGCTCTTACAGAGTGGGCATCATTAATAAGTCTCCCCATCCCCCCCCCCCCAAACAACAAAGCATTTGCTGTAATGTGTATGTTGTGTGAATTAAAAACAAGTCTCTTACTTTTATGTCTTACTATCTTCTGGTTACTTTTGCGTGGCAAAGTATATTTGATGTCACAAAGCTTTCACGTAGTATTACGAGAAAATCTTACCAATTAGGGTTTGTGCCGCCAAGGGTGGATAAATAGTTTAGCCCACCCCCACTCCACGAAAAAAAAACAACTGTACAGTCGGTAAAAATGTACCCCCCCCCCCCCCACTTTCCATATAAAAAAAAGTGACACCCTGGGTGAATTGGCCGCTCAGCTCCCTTTTCCTTGTCCACTGCATTTTACTCTGTGGGTAACTTAACCCCAGCTAATCCTAAGGCAAAGGCGGCGCCAGTGATTACTTTCTCAGGGGATCTGCACATCTTGGGAAGTACTACGAAAAAGACAAAGGCGGCTCCGCTAGAACACCCAATATGGCGAAAGCCTCATAGACCTTCAAGATGTCTGAAGAAAAAAACAACAAAAAACAACAAACAAACAAGTTTGGATTTTCAGTTTGTGGTTTGTAAGTTCGTAACTGTAACTGTATTTAATTCTAAGAAAAATATGATTCCAGGAAAGGTCACGCTGGTGCTCGGAAAAAGCTGGTTATCTGAAACGCTGGTTATCTGAAACAATGGTTATCTGAAACGCTGGTTATCTGAAACGCTGGTTATCTGTCAATGTAACACATTAATGATAAAGAACTTGGCAGCTAAAGGAAAGAATTTAAAACTGAAAAAACTTAAAGTAGGTGTTTAATTTACATAATAAATGTACAACAAATTACCATAATACACTGTGCAACAACTTACCACTTTGCTCTGTACAACAAATTACCGTACGCTTCTAATGTAAGAGTATATTCCGTTCAAAAAAAGTCTTGAACGGAAACTTTACAGCCAGTGGTAACTGATCAGAAACAATAGGTTATCCGAACCAACCCAGGTACAGTTAGTTCGGTTAAAAGGATACGTAATTTATACAACACATTTATTACCATTAAATCCGACCGAAACAAAAATAATTCTAGGCGATGACTTCTTACCTCCTTTCATTGCGTCGAGTATGTCGCCACACTCGTCTTGGACGCATAGCCCCCTCAGTCCCAGACTTATTTTTAGAAAGGGTGGTTTGTGATCTGTTGAAGACAGCTATTCAGGGGTGGCCACACCGGCAATGTTCATGATGACACCGATGGCGGCCAGTCCCACCGGGTAGCTGGACGTTATGCCTCCGGGAAGCAGCCTTTGATGAAAGATAGAGAGAAAAATACGTGTGTGATATCGAACGAGTCCAGAGGGTTGTCTTTCTCGCTAACACTGTCTTACCGTTCTCGTGTTTAAAAACGCTTTCAAAGGGGTAAAATAACTGCACTGCAGTTTCGTAAAATGCAATCATGTTCCAAGGTTGCAATCACTAGCGTTAGTTCCAGACATACGACGGGGGATTTAATTATTTTACGGGGAGTCGAGGATCATCTCTTTCAAAGCCCCCCCCCCCCCGGCCCAACGCGTTACCTCCACATTTCGTACGCATGAAGATGATATTGACAGAACCGGCTTCAACTGGGTCAGGGCATCTGGACGGCAGTATCAACAATCGCCTAATGTAGTTTTTCGTTGATTTTCAACAGTGAGTCCGAAATCAAGACTACCCTGCTAATGCTCGCTTAGGTTGGTGATCGTTCTGCCACCAATGCTGACTGTCCCATCATGCGCTTCCAGAGCATCTGACATAATTCTCTCTAGGAAGATGTTGAATAGGGTGGGGGGAGAGCAGGCAGCCTTATCGTAATCCAAACGTGGTCTTGAACCATTCTGCGATGTCGTTGTTGAGGAAGACTGCACTGGTGGCCTTATCATAGAGGTTGCATATCATTCTGGTTAGGTTTGTGTTGATGTTTATGGTGGCCCATAAAGCAGCATGTCAAACCCTGTCGAATGCTTTCTTGAAGTCCACAAAGACGTGGTATAGGTTGTGTTGGTGTTGAGTATATTTCTCACATAGTATTCGGAGGTTTAGAATCTGCTCAGTAGTGCCCCGTCCTTGTCTGAAGCCCGCCTGTTCTTCAGCAATGATTCTGTCGGCATATGGTTTTAGTCGGTTCAATATGACCTTCAGGATGACCTTGCTTGGATGGCTAATTAGACTAATGGTGCGAAAGTTTTGGCATAGCTGTAGAAAACCTTTTTTGGGGAGGGTGATGATGAGCGATTGGGTCCATGGTTTAGGCCATTCTCCTGTAAGCCATATTTTGTTACAAATATTGAATAGGGCATTTATCACTGCTTCTCCTCCTTATTTCACCAACTCGGCAGGGATATTATCCGCTCCTGCGGCCTTTTCTGTTTGGAGTGCTTGGACTGCTGCTTCTACTTCTGCGCGGAGAATAAGGTAGTTATCATTGTCTGTTGCTGGAGGGAAATTAAGGATCTCTGGGTCTATCTTTATACTTTCATTATACAGCTCTGAACAGTATTCAGTCCATCGTTTTATGATATCATTTTCCTCGTTTAAACATTTACCATTTTTATCCTGTACGGTAGTACTACGTCCTTGTTTTGCAGTGGTTAGTTCTTTCACCAACTGGTAAGCTTTTTTGCTATTGTTTTTCTTCAAGCAGTTTTCAATTTCGTAGCATTTCTCTTCAATCCATTTTTTCTTTGCCCTTTTCATACCTGTTTTGATGTCTAGGTTAACTGTCCTATATTTACTGCCCCCCCCCCCCTCCTGTATCTACCATTTTTGTTTTCTTTAACTGCCTCCGTTTATCAGCCGTTATTGCTTTTCATGAAATATTTTTTCAAATATTGCATAAAGTTTTCTCATCTGCATTTTATTTAATTTAAATTTGTCTTACTTTTAGATAGACATTATCTGTTTGTATTGAATATTTTATAGCAATAGCTTTATTGGTTTAGTAATTATGTCATTTTTTGACAAATTAAATTTTTTGACAATTGTCGTTATCCACACCATATGCTCATAAAGTCATATTTAATAGAATATAACAAGTTACTTCACAATTCATGAATTTGTTTTGTTAAACATTGTGTTGTAAATGTCTCCTTCAAATTTGATAGCTCTAACTTTAATAGCCAAAAAGATACAACCAAAATAGTACAAAATATTTTTCGATCAGTTTTAAAAATTAAATAGGACCTACAAAGCCAAATAGTGGGGAAAAATAAATCGCTAAAAAATTCATAACTTTTCTCCAATAAGTCATAGAAAGATAATCTTGGTTTCAATTGAAATAGCTCTTCCACTAAGGGGTGTCTGGGAGGACATTAGACCATTTCAGGTGTTCGTGTGGGGTATAAGTATATGGCTAAAATATTGGGAAACACAAATTGATTAACTTTCAGGTGACATCTTAAAAAATAGACCTATCAAAAATTGAGATTCATAAAATATTTGATTACATTGGCCGTGGTTCCCACACTGTCCCTTAAATATTTATGCAGTTTTCATATCACCATGAATATAAGGGCCTGGAAAAATCCCCCCCCCCCCCCCCCCCCCCATTTTTTTAAAAATTTTTTTNAGATCAAATTTTATAAATGTTTAACTACATTTTTCTAAAGTAAACCAATATTTAGATGATAGAAAAGTAGAGAAATAAATATGCAAATAATACGCCACTGGAGCCTAATAATCCCCATTTTGGTCACGCCTTTCTTCATACTATCTCTACTTTTCTAAAAAAGAAGAATCTTTGTGTCCTTTAATTGAATTTTTATATATAAGAGCTCCTCTTCTGGTTTAGTGTAATGGTGTAGAGGGATCTATTATCTATTAGTACAATAATCAGTACAAAGGTAGTAGTAGTAGGTAGCTTTATTTTACTCATCACTCATCAATGACTTAGAGAGAACAAAATATGGTCCGATTAAAAAATAAAGAGTTCATTCATTTTATAACAACATTTATTAAAAATATCCAAAATTCATGTGTAGACCGTTGTCGTAGGTTGTGAAAAAGAAATTCAAAAGAAGGGGTACTTTTTAGGGTATGAATTTCGTCACCATGACGACAATGCTTGTCTGGGCTTACCCTTGTCTGCATATTACCTATTATCGATAGTGTCCGTGGGTTAGTTAATAATTCATTAATTGGGTTATCCAGAACCAGAATATAAATGGGAAATATAACTAATAATAAATCATTTCAAACAAAAAATATTTGGCAATCCTCTGAAGTCCGGTCCCAAATTATTTTTTATGAAGAAAAATTGCAATGCACAGTGTCTATTGTTAGAAGACAGCAGAAATGTCAGTCATAGCTTTTGCAAATAACTGTCACTTTACATACCAGTCAGTAAACACTTAATGTTGTAATTGGCGCAAAGATTTGCAAATAGCAGCCGAAAACGTTCTGGTTGTGACTGTTGCGCGACTGAAAGTGAAAGGTCCCAAAGTAGCTGGCAAACAGACCGCAACTAGTACCACCCTGATAGTAGAGTTTACGTTTTGCTTTCATCCAAAGTCCTTCAATAGTTTCTGTGTGAATGTCCTGGTCTACTGAATCAACAAATTTACGCGCGTGCACAATGACAGCGTGAGCATAAATCCTGTTGTTGAGCTGAGCGACATTTTGATATCCTCTCCAAGCGACCATGGCGATAGTTGCCCCTGGTAACACATGATTAGTGATAATGCGCTCGAGTGTTTGTGCATTTCGACGGCCAACAACCTCCATCCAACATCGTCCACTACCACGCTCAACCAAGCCGACAACCCACTTACAAATGCGTCGCTGTCCACGGTGATATTTTCTATGGAAAAAGTAACTCTCATCCATCTCAATGAAAACAGACTGGCCGTTTGCATCAAAGCCTCCCAGTAGTTGATTGGTTGTCAGCATCAATTAACAGCATTTCTGGCGAAGATAGTTGTTATAGTTGGCAATAGTGTCCCAACTAACGAGACTCTCGAACAACATAAATTGTTTACACTTGACTTCGTTAACCCAATAATACATGATCACAACTCTTTTTTCACTTGTTAGATTGCAGTTGGCAAAGAATGACCCGATTCGAACACTACTGCGGGTATTGCATGGGTGACATTGCCACGAAAAACCTTTGTTGCATTCCGCACGAGCGACTAATGCCATTGGTCGCCTGCATGTTCCACAATTAACGTTGTTTCTGATCAAGCAGTATAGGGCCAGCCATTCTAACCATTCACACCTGTTTGACATTACAGCATACAACTCCCATGGGATACTTAAATTCCACCCAGTTGTACTGCTGGCAAAATAACCGAACTTATCGGTGCGGCTGGTCTATGTGCCATAAATAAACCCATTTATTGAAATAAACGAAAACATGAATTCAAAAACAAAATGATGCCTAAGACTTTTAAGTAAGGAGTAATCATTGGAAATAATTTGGGACCGGACTTCAGAGTATTGCCAATATTTTATAACATAAATGCTTATTATTATTGAAATGGCTATTCGGAACTGTGTCCCAGTGGTGAGAGGTTGGGATTTAAAAATACTTAACATATTCTTTTTGGGTTGTAAGACAAAATTTGGTACTGGTATCAAATAAAAGATAATTAAATGGATTATATTTTTGGAAACTTACTTCTTCAGTTTAACTAAAATAAACCAACATAAATGACATATGAATGGCATTGAGTCTAAAGGGATGTCATTTGTGGTAGTTTATTTTAGTTTATTTATAGTCTTCAAATTGATGAGCACAATTATCCTGAGTTTCTGCGTGTGAAGTTTTAAGCTCAGGCAGCTGAGATAGCAAGACAATGTGTCCATTCTCCTTTAAAGCACAACCCAAAAGACCACATAACTACTACATTGCGTTAGTGAGGAATTTAACCCACTCTTTAGATGGGTTCTCGTTTGATAAAGCAATTTATAACTCTAAATGTATATCGTATTAAATATTTTGTCCAGTTATAAATTAGATTTTCACCCTTAATGATTGTGTTATTAATGTCTCATTATACGGTGTTACAAGTTCAGTGGCTGCACATTTTCTGGTTCCTTTTTTTTCTATTTGAAATAAAATTCTTTTCTTCTTTCTTTGTCAATTTTGTGTCAATTCCACCAATGACATAATGCTGATCAGTGAGAAATGTTCAGTCCTCATCAATTTTTATCCGATTTAGTGCATTGGGGTGTGAAATATCAAAAACAGTGCTTATTTTGTTCACAAACTCAGTTTCTTTTGCAACTTGAAGTTCACCACAATGTGTTTTTTATGCTGACATACTTTATGATACTTGGTAAGTACTGCTTCTAACTTTCAAGCAACACTTCCAGTGACACTGGAATTCAAGTTTTTCCACAAATCAATTTTTTTCTTCTCAATGACATGTTTTATGGCACTTTTTGTTCTAAGTTATTGGAAAAAAGGACATCTTCAAACCATCACTTAAAGTTGGCAGGGTATGACCATCAAAATCATTTAGTGGTTCTCTGAGGTGGTAAAAAGCCGCTTAAGATTGGGTCACAGCCATTATTCACCTGTACAGAGAATAGTGAGGGTTTGTGAGGCCGTACTAAATGAATCATTTGAGCTGATATTTTGCTCAAGTACTCTGTACATAAAAAGGAAAATGAAGTACATTTAATTTTCATAAATTTTTATTTTTCACTAAATGGATGCACTCCCTTGCTCAATAAAAGAGCTTTTCAAAGCATTTTTCCTTATTTTCCAGGTCAAGAGATGTAACTAAGCTGAGTAATGACACTTCTTTGAGTACTGCAATGACCTCTGGCACAAGTCACACCAATGAGGCAATAAGAGCAGAGCTGGAACTTGTGAAGCAAGAAGCTCCTGCCATAGAAAATGTCAGACTGATTGCTGCTGTTCCATCTCTGGTCAGGGCAGAAATTATGTAAGTAGCAACTCAAGATGTAGAGTGTTACCTCCAAAGTGTCTGAGTAAACCACAGGAATCTCACATAAAGAAAAACCAACCCCCTAAAAACAATGTTGTATTTGAATATAGTAACTGATTTTTTGGTACAGTACGGGAAATTTTTTTATCAAACTTAGTTTATGTGGAACCTAATAGACTAAAGATTTATATTATTAAAGCCTAATGCGTCACAAATTCAGAGCACATAGCAACAGCTCCACACTGACTTATATCTCCAAATCAAAACATGCAACCATTGAATAAGTCATGAACCCTCCAACCCCCCTTTTTTTTTTCTTCCCCACTTGAAAAACAGATTTTTGGGGGTGGGATATGAGGATTAAAATTTACTAGAAAGTGTTGTCATCTGCAACAAATCTTATGTGTTGAACTTCAGCTTGATAGGTTGATGGAAGTGAGTGGATTAACCTTCGAAAGATTTTACCTCCACAAAGAAAAAAAGAAACACACTTTACACTTTACACTCACTTTAAGTTAATATAAAGGATTTAAAAAGAGGTTATAAGAAACACAGGGTATGGGAAACTTGAAAAAAATAAAACAAAAACAAATATATTGGCAAAACGCCTTCTTCATGGAACAATGAAAATGAATAATAAAAAACTTACCCTATATGTTTTTTGTTGTTAATGTTTTCTTTTTAAAATTTGAAGTTAGATGCATACTGAAATATTAAAATCATAATATATTCTTATTTCTGCAATCCGATACCATAGTTTAATATATTTTTGTCACATTTAATAATTGCCAATAATATGAATGTTAACACTGCATGTTCTTGCTCTGATCACAAAATCAAGGGTGCCTAGAATTGAACTGATACATAATTTCTTAGCTCTTTAGAGGTCCTGACCCAACTCCTCATTTGTTCACTTTACTCTCCTACACATACACCTTCATTACTTTGTCTGATCTATATATCTTGGGATTCATTCACTTTACTCTCCTACACATACTTCTTCAGTACTTTGTCTGATCTATAAATCTTGGGGATGTTTTTTGTGAACTAAATAAGTTAGCTTTACTCAAACTTGATTTTGTTTTCCCTCCCTTCCAGGAAAACCAAGTACAAGCAGTTGACAGTGTCATGCATGTTTCAGCCATCCTACCCCAATGTGCCTGTTGTGACAGAACTCAGGTCAAAGACATTGGCAGACACGTTCTTAGATCGCCTCTCAAAAGTCTGTGATGCCGAGGCTAAAAAGTTAACAGGAAGACCACAGGCGAGTCCCATTTACTCTTTTGAAATAAACTGTCAGCATGTTTTTTATCCTTTGATCAATGACAGTGATGGAATTTCAACACTGTTACCATTGTAAATCTGTCATATGTGTTGTGTCAACTCTTTAGCAAGCAATGTTTCTATCATCTGTTAAAGAGCAGATAGACATTTATGCTTATTTTGTGTTCTGGCCCAGAGGATTAATTTAATGGATTGGAAATCTGATAACTTTGTAGAATTTGTAAAATGGGATTTGGTTATCACATGTCCCCATACTCACTTAAAAGGTTGTTGGGCTATAATTAGTTCTTTTTCATCTTCTGAAGTTGTTTTTTTAAATACATACAGCCTCTTCACAGCTTTATTCCCAACTCAAGGCATACAAAGGATTTTCAACGAGTCTTTTCCCATTATAAAGAATAATACAATTTGCAATGTGACATTTTGATTCCACAAGTTACAAAATTAGTTCTATTTGTCTCTTAAGTGTTGCTCTTTTAAAACTCGCCACACTCAAAAGTTTGTATCAAAAGGCGTTAAGTTTCCTGTCTTTAAGGGAAGGACTATGATTGATGGTTAGTCAATTATAAGTGTTACATAATTGGTCTGTTGAACCTTGCAGACCGTGCACATCATCAAGTTTGTAAAGACATTCATCGAAGAGAACCCTTTGTGTGTGTGTTCTGAGGAGATTTCCCTACTGAAGAAACTGTTGACAGGGGATCATGATGAGATCAAGCTCAAACAAAAAACATCTCAGATAGCTGTGAAGGTTCACCAGGAGCTCTACTTCATACATCTCACACTGTCTGTACCTGAAACATACCCACTCACACAAGTGAGGTGAGGCGCCTTTAGTGCAATAAAATTGTACACCGGGATCAATTGTTTATTTCATTTATTAATGTGTGGTTATTAGATTCATATATTTTCTTCCTTGTAAGAAATTTTGATTCAAATCAATGTTTTAACAAATGTTACCATTGGTCTGAATCCCATTCTTTTTAATTTTTTTATTTATAATACTGCATATCATTCATGCAATATCAAATTCTGTGACATCATTCTTTAGTTTATATACACAATAAATTGTCCTTTTTGATGCAAATTCGGTATATTGAAAAAACTTTTTGGATAACTTTGCAGCCCTAATTTTCACCAATTTTGCAGCCCTTATTTATTTCTAAATCAGATGATCTGAACAATTCTTGAAATCACCAAGTTATCATTTTGTACATTTTTGTGTTTCTATCCCTTAACTGTAATTGGTTTAACTCCCTTCCCTCTCTTTTTTTCTTTAGTCTTCAAATTGATGAGCACAACTTTCCTGAGTTTCTGCGTGTGAACTTTCAAGCTCAGGCAGCTGAGATAGCAAGACAATGTGTCCATCCTCCTTTAAAGCACAACCCAAAGTAAGTCAGTCTTATTGATACACCATCAAGAAGAAATCTGATTTATGAGATGATGCCAGAAGAAATCTGATTTATGAGATGATGCCTTTTTCTGGCATTTGGTCTAATAGCTAGTCTGATTAAACTTCTTTTTAAAAAATTAGACAATTTTAATAGACAATAAAAGAATACTTTTCAGACACTGTATACCGTAATAAGATTTACAGCAAAGGAGTGATAATAATGTTATGTTTTTTTACGTTTCTTCCCATGTAACATGCATTACATCATTTTGGATACCGTCCAATAGTTTTTAATATATCACATATTTGAACGTTGTTTTTAGATGATAATTTTGATAAAATTTTTAGATAATAAACTGATCAAAGCTAACTTTAAATGGATCAGTGGGTTTAATGGATTTGAGCATAAGTTGTAAACAAAGATCCTGAAAGACAATACCATTGTGAATGTGTGAAATTATTTTTTTAATAAAGATGTAGGTTTAAAATTTTAAATATCATTTGAAGACAAGAACAGGTCATTGGTCACATATAACTTAATTCACTCCTTAGCAGCACAAGACCAGATGATAAAAAAAATGTGCTCCCTCTGCAGATATCCAAATAAGACAATAACGCATAACCTCTTTCACTGCCCGGTACCTTATGACTTACACCTAATTTACCTGCCAAGGATACCAAACCACACCAACACCAAATACATTGGCAAGTAGAAGCTGCAGAAAGGTTGCAAGTTTTTCAGCTTGTCCTGGGAGCCGAAGGGCACATGCTTCAAGTGGCTGCTGGATCTGGATGATGAAAGGATCAACATATAACTAACATTCCAGTTGGGGGAAAATACGGAAATTCCTGCAGAATCTGTGATGGTGCATGGAAAAAGCAGCAGAAAAAGAAAGAAAATGGTGAAGAAGGAAACTATACAAAAGCTGGGACCAATGTACTCTTGATGAATGAATTTGTAATTTCAGAAAAGCAGCTCGAGGGTACAGCTAGTTTAAGTTGATTTTTTAAAGTTAAACTCTAGATTTAGATTAGTAGCAGACAAATTAAATTCATATTAAATTGAAAATACTAAATTCTTCATGAGCAGCCCATGAATGGGCTTAAAATAAATATTGTGTTTTTATCCTCTTTAATTTCAATACTTCACTTGGTTTATCTCACAGAGACCCACCTTTCAAACCCAAGTCCTCTGTGTTGCCCCTCTGTCAATATATCATCAACTGTGTTAAAACTTACCCTCTGGAAAAATGCCCGTTGTGTCTAGAAAAAGTATTACCTGCTGATCCAAAGGTAAGCCACCCGATGCCCTTCACCTTCTCAACAAAGTACGGTACCGGTAATTAAAACTTTTTTTTTTTGTTGTTGTTGTTTTGAATATAGAAATAATTTTTATGTTACATTTGAACAAATTATTATAGTTGACTCACAGATATTTTCTATTATTTTTCTGCCTTGTTTTTTTTTAAAATTGTAATTTAATATTTAATTAAAAATTAAAATAATAAATAATATAATAAATATAATTTGCTACATTTTTTGAGTTTCACTCCCTAAAAAAAGTATGTAATAATATATTCCCACAATTTGATGTCCTCAGAATGAATGTGCTACTAAAGGGAAACAAAAAACTGTTAAAGTTTACTGTGGTCATCTTTTCCACTACATTTGTTTAAATGGCTACATGAAAACACCCCCGTTTTCAGGTTGGTCACTGTTTGAAAATATGTTTTAGAAATTTTTCATGCAATACATTTTAGATATATCTTAAGCAATTTGTTTTAGATATATCTTACATGCAGTATTTTTAGGGTACTTTGTGTATATTTAGTTATATTATTATTTGATATCGTTAATATTATGCTATTTTGGTAACATTCTGTCTGGAAAAAAAAGTGAAATTCCTTCTCCTTAAGGATCAGATGTGATTTTAATTTTATGAAATGTTAGCTGTTAGAAAAATTGAATATATCAGCTCAGTGTCTGTGTAAAAAAAAAAGTAAATCTCAACCCCAAAAAAGAGATCAATGAATCCTAGCATAAAAAATTTAAAAAAATCGGGTACCCCTAATTATATTTTTTTATGTATTGTTTCAGAGGGTAAAAAATGTCCAGCGTGTAGTAAGCAAATATTTCATGAAAAGTGGAAAATTGCAGCTGAAGTGATGGAGAACAGATGGGCTCACAAACAAGCTAAGCAGAGAGAGTTGGAAGAAGTTGTGGATTTCTTAGATTAGCAAAAATTGACATTCAGTTTTGTTTTGAATTTGTCCTATAATTGGGCCCTGGTGATTGCCACTGTTTAGTGTTGATGAAATCCAATTATTAGATTCAGCATCTTTTAAAGATGGACAGTGCAGACTTTGGGAAAGCTCTTCTGTTTGGTATGTTTTGTTACTGAAACCACTCTAATCCTACAGGCCCAGCAATCAATACAATGACATATGCACTCAATACATGCACGCAAGTCTGTGCATAGGATTTTTTGGCCCAGAGGAAATCCAAAGTTTGGGTCTCTCAAAATTCCAAAATAATCGTTTTTTTTTTTTTTATTTTTTTTTTATTATTATTTTTTAATTCTGCCCTTGGAGGCCCCCCTGTGAAGGAAGGGCCCTGACTGATTGACTAGGTTGTTTGGGCCTCTGCACGGCCCTGCATGCAAACCATATTTGTAGAATTAAAAATGCTCTTGCTTTGTGCAAGTGTTTTTTTTTTAGGTTGAATCATTTACAATTTATGATGTAGGAAATAGATTTAATAATTCATTAACAAATGTGGAATTAAACTAAAAATCTCAAAGTGGATGAGACTGTTTACACTTTTTCCATGTTCACCACAAGTTGGTATTGTTTCCCCTTGCACTTGATTACTTCCCTTTTAATTCAACAAGTGACTTTATAAAGCCTTACCATGAGCATGCTACTATCTGTTCTTGATTTGCAGCTAGCACAAAGTGATTATTTTAAAACTGATATAACATGTGAGCTTTGCAATTTTATCCAGACTTTGATGTGTACATGACTGTGAGGGAAATATCCTTCTCTGAATGTGATTCTGTGTAATGTCATTATTTTTAATCACATCTTGATAACTACATTTGTTGCCCAAATCAAGTTATCAATAACAGCCACAAACGCTTAGTTTAGTTCTTAAGTGTTCCATCAATGAAGAAGCCTTTTGTTTTGTTACTGTAGTCATAACAGTAGTCACTTGACAGAAGTCTTAGAATCAATTTTCAAATGATTTTATAAATCATTTATAATCAAATCCAGAGAAAAGGAAAATGTAATTTAAAACCAATCACATTTCTGTGTAAAGATTATAAACAAGTGTTTAGTAACATTGATATAAAGGTTTTAACTGTTTGTCCCGCATTTATTAGAAATCTCAGATAAAACCTCACAAATTCCACCGCTGTTACATGCTTCATTACTTGCCTGAGATGGCTGTCATTTTTAACAACAACAAAAAACTGATCATATAGCCAGCCAACTGGAATCAAATGTTTGGATAAAAAATATAATTTATTTTATTGATCCAAATATTAAAATCTGACAGATTTGTTGTATAGAAATTATTATTTAAAAAAATAAAAAACATGATGTGATGTATCAATTTAATAAAAACTGCAGATCACTATACTATGTATTTATAATAATTTTCTCAAACAGTTTTATTAGCTCTATTCATGCACATTTTTGTAATATATCAACTGACACTGAGGTTGCTTTTTATAATTTATGCTAGACATGTTGTATTTGACATCATGAAGATGTTAAGATAGTGAGGCATGTGGAAAATATTCAACGCAAATTTGATTTTCTGAAATTCCGATTGAACAAAAGCATCATATGTTATATTGCACTTGGTATAAAAAAATGTTAAATGCTGTCAACTGAAGTTACCTCTGTGAGGAAATTGAGTTTTGATCCAAATTGTTTCAATAAAATTTTAACAATTCATATTTTTGTTTCACTGAAAGATATGTTTTTGAAAGAAGAGTGGGAGTGCGTGCTGGAATGTATTATCTATGGGCCTGCTATGACACTAGTTTTATTATTAGCCTGGTATGAGACTAGATGTTATTGGACACTAGATGTTACAGACCCTGTATAACACTAAATGTTACAGGCCTATGAGAAACACTGGATTTTTAAAGGCCTGCCATGAAAGCAGTTGTTATAGGCCCACTATAACACTCGAAGTTAATGACCTTTATTCATCAGATTTGTAGCAGTAGTGTGCTTTGCCCTATCTGTATAAAAGGGACATAGCTTGGTCAGTATCAATATGTATTATGCAAGTATGTCAGTCATGTGAAAAAACTTGAAAGCCATTTCACAATTGTGATAATTTACCTATGGTTAACAAACACTGCTTTGGTAATTGGAGAAAATATATTTGCATAAATGATCTCAAATGATGACTTGAATGTGAGCCAATACTTGGCAGAGTGATAATATAATGATATGGAACTCTTGGGTTTTTAACTTGAAAATTTGATCCAAGTAGGGAAATCTTGGATCAAGTTAGGGATCTCTAGAATCAAGAGAGGGAACTCTTGAAACATTGCAAGGATTTCTTGGTTCAGGGCAGACCAGGGTGTTCAAATTCTTTTTGCCCATGTTTTTGTTCAAAATGTCCCAACAATTTAATGCAGTGAGATTTTTTTTTATCAAAATGAAATCAGCGATTGCACAGCAAGTGGAAAGAAGTAAATCAAAACTCATGAATTTATTTTATTAGCACAATGGTTTTAATTTTCTATCAAAGGATTTAAAAGTTAAGTAAAGCATCCACTCTGGCAATCCTAACTACAAAAGTTAAAGCAATGTTAAAGGAAGTAATGTTAGGTTATCTAATACATCGGCCCAGATACTCCTTACACCCAACATGTCCAACTCTTATCCTTACGTCAAGTGTCTTTTCTATCAAATTTTGGGCCACAAACTTACACACATGGAACACTAACTCCCTCTCAATGATTACTGCTGGAACTGTTATGAGATGCTGATGGTTAATAATAGCTGAATATCTTTTTTTCCCATATATTATAATTATTTTCCTTTGGTGAGCAATAATCAGTAATTAAGTACAGCAAACATGGGACACTATAGTAAAATTGTCTTTCTTACAACAAACGAGCATGCATCTCAAATTTCTTACATTATAGAGGTTTCCTTTGATTATCTGTTCAAGTGGTAATACCTTGTTTTTTTAAAAAAAAACTCTGCAAATAATTAACATAATTTGAAGATAAATAATTTTGACCCCAACGTTTTCATTTGGGAGTTAAATATACTGAAACTATGATAGATGTTTTGAAAGTTAATTTTAAAAAAAATTACAACATATAAAACCTTCTCAGAGTAATCCATTATAAAATCAACAACCAAATTTACAGAAAAGAAAAGGGGATTTAACAAATAAAATATTTTACAGACAGACAAGTTTTCAATCTCTTTTCTTTTTTTTTTTGCTAGAGGCAGCTTGAAAATTTTATAGGTTAACACAAAACATTTCAATTTATTTAACATGTATCCTTCTAACAGACTTCCTATGCCACACAATAAAAAACTGCAACTGTTTCAACTGCAAGAAGGACTAGGAACACTTATAAGGAAATATCACAAACTCTTTATACTCCTTAAAATTAAAAGAGTGGAACAGTGTGAATCACTGCAATCTCCAATTGACAATCAAATATTTTATATATAATACTAATACAGTGGAATAACTGTAACCATCTAGTGTATTTGAAACAAAGATGCAAGGATAACTTTATTATAGCTTGCATTAAAATATTAATGTATATTTGAAATTTTAATGATTTTTTCACTGTCTAATTATTTATATAAATTTAATTTTGAGATGTTGCAAAATATTTTTATATGTCAGATTAATTTTATATATTAATAAATAGTGAAATAATATATAAAAATTATTCATGTAGCTATTATTTTGTTCTGCTTTACAGATGTTGAAATTAATATCTTCTGCCTAAGTAACATTAATGACAAGTACACTAAAAGTACCCTCCAAAACTGTCTGATAAAATTAAAGTACAAAACGTTTGTATTTGGCAGGGAACCGGTATGAGCCTATAAAATTCACTGAAAGATTTCAATGTTGATATATTATTATTGTTAAAAAGTCAACTGTTCATACAGATAATGAAATTTTTACATAAAAACATGAAACTGAGAATAGAAAGTATACATCATTTGTACTCTGTTATAAAACTTTATCATAGATGAATTCAGTATGAAAAAAAAACAACCCAGGCAATCAATTGCGGCCTATTTGTTAAAGATTTGATAACATATTATCACAAATTACTCTCATTAAACTTGAACTTTACATTCTTTTAAATAGTATGTGGTAAAAGATCAACAGGAACAACACAAGAGATAAGTACAGGTAAATATATACATAAGGTTTAATTTTTTTTTTTACAAACTTTCTATCTACAATTCACAGCCTAGAGGATTTAATCTACAGTATGTATAACACAGTGTGTTTACAGTGTCACATTTTATGACAACAATCCAGGAAAAAACAATATTAAATATTAATTTTAAAAATTAAGCACTAAAGTTTTTTTAAGGCCTACTTAACCAAAAGATATAACAATAACAAACTGAAGTTTAAAAAAAAATTGAAAAGCTTCTTGAGAAAATAAATGATTCACAAAAAATGACATTTCATTAAAGAGCTTTCAATGTTTTTTAAATTGTGCCATACTATTTGTTGCTAAATAAAAATATTTTATTATTTTAATTAAACATGGCAACTGTTGAAATGAATATAAAACTACAAATAAAAAACCACACTGAAACAAAATCAAACATATATCAAAGAAAAATTAATATCAGAGTCTCTCTCAGGAAAAATGGGAGTTGGGGGGGGGGAAGCTAATTAAATACAAAAATAATACTGCATGAAATAATTTTAAAAATGTCCTATTTAAAAAAAAAAAAGAGATGTTTAAAACTAAAATTCAATAAGTAATTATTATATAAAAAAAAAAAAAAAAAAAAAAAAAAAAAAAACACAAAAAAAAAAAAAAAAAAAATAAAAAAAAAATTAAATATAGAGGTCTCCCAGAGAAAAATGGGGGTTGGGGGGGGGGAAGCTAATTAAATACAAAAATAATACTGCATGAAATAATTTTAAAAATGTCCTATTTAAAAAAAAAAAAGAGATGTTTAAAACTAAAATTCAATAAGTAATTATTATATTCAGTTTTGATTAGTAAATATTTGAATATAAAAGATGAAAAATTCAATATATATTAGCTCTATAAACTCATGAAACAATATTTCTGTGATATAAATCTTATCATTTGTTTTTGATGAATTTTTTTTGTAAATAAACAATATTTTATAATTCAAAGTACTCTTTAAACGTTTGAGTCAAAATTAAAAGATGAACAATTCTAAATAAGCCTTTAAATTGAATCTCCTAAAAAGGTTGAAGCTGTTTTAATAAAGTTTCTGTCAAGGGGAAAAAGGAAGAAAGACTCAGTCATTTCTTGTGTACACCGGTATTTATCTAAACACAATATAACAAAAGATCTCAAAAGTATGGTAATATTGTTTTATAAATGAATGTTTGCCAATTTAAGAAACATAGTACAATGCAGCAATGTAGAAAATAAGAAATTCTATTGGGATAAAAAATGTTGCTTTGAAATTCAAAACATGGGCAAATTTAAATAGCTACAACAATATTACATCAACAACAAGAAATAGGTCAAATATTCATTCAAGCATTTTTTTCAAAGGTTTACCAAACCACAGAGTACTGGTACTTAATAATAATTAACGTATAATAAAAAGTGTTGGACTGCGATAAAGCTTTAAAATAGATTAATAAGACACCAACAATTTGTGTCAATATAACATTATATGTTGTATATGCTCTCTGTCCGGTCTCCAAACATTTCAATAGCCCTAACCATGATGGTATCTCAGACATTGCAGTTACTGGTATACTAGTAGCACAACAGATAGGATATACATGGAGAATAAATTAATAACACGATTTGGTATGTTGTCTCCATATGGAATAAACCAAATCCACAATTTTACCTAACTGCCATGTCTTTTTCCTGTTTGGTTTTTACAATTTTGCTCAAATCACTTCCTTTACCATGCTTCTGTCTGTTTTTTTCGCCCACTTCTATTTTTTCTCCCCCTTTTTTAGGTAGGTTATCTGTATATATATATATTATGTAAATTTAATTTATACTTAATTGTCTTTTTGTTGTACGGATGAAGACATGTGCCGAAATGTATACATTTGTATTCTGTAAAATTATTATTAAAGCTTACCTTGTATCGTTATATTTACACAAATTGTTGGTGTCTTATTAATCTACTTAATAATAACTTGGGAAACTTTTGTAGTTAAATTACTTTCTATATAGCACTATAATATAGTTAACTATTATTCATTATTAAGCAATTATTCCTGATCATAAATTTCAAAGATTAAAAGGGGTTGTGACTGACCACTTCATACTATTTTACTGAGTGAATTTCAAAGAGCACTTATTATACATAATAGTCTCAGTGGAAAGATTGGTCTTAAAAGTTTACATCATTAGGAATTATTAAAATTACATTATAATGACTAGTATGAAATGAGTAAAGTCAAAATTTCTTTTTTATTGGGTTGGGGAAAAAATCTGTATTATCAACTTTCAGCTTTTCCACTACACTTTTTTAATATATCCTTTTTTGCAACCTGATTGCAGTCCCAACCCCAAATATTTTTAATCTAGTATTGGAAAGTCAAAACATGTTTTCTAGATAAAGAGTTTTAACCTCTGATGTCCTAGTAAAATGTTAACATGAAAGAATGAAAAGCATTCTTAGATAACTTTTTGGCACAAGAATGGAAAAATATATTGCATGGCATGAACACTAGGAATATAATCTTTTAACATTGTAGAAAATGTTCTCTTAAGTGTGAGATATACATGTTCTACTTCAGTATTTCTAACACACACTTCAAAAATGGGATTATTTAATACTTTATTATAGACCACCCATATGAATGATATTTTCAAAGGTTAGATTTGAGACAAAAATGGACTTCATTCACTCACTTAATTTCAAATAACAATATTTCAGCCAAACTAGAGACACCTCAATAAATATTTTATATAAAATTTGTACACGCCAGGGTTATGTACAAGTATTAATTCCTACATAGAAGGATTACAACAACAAGAAATCAATATTAACTCATGATGGTATTAATATGTTTAGAAAAAATAAAAACATCTAAAAAAATTAAATTAAATTTTTAAAGCTATTTATAAATGGTAATGTCAAAATAGTATGCTGGAAAACTTTTGTTGAGCCTACCAGTGAATGAAAAAATGTTAAATTTAAAAAATTTAGTTTCTGATAACATTTTTATAATATCATGAGAATTACATACCAGACCAATTATGCTTTAGATAACTCAAACAACCATTTGAAAACACTTAGTTTGGGCACAAATGTGAAGGATAGGAAAAGAGAAGGAAAAGTGATTTTTTATGGATGGGCAAAAAAAGGCTAAACTAGAGAAGTTGAATGCAAATCCCAATTGATTGGTGTATGAGTGTTTTTTCAACTTTTCTTTTCATTATTTTGGGGTGGGTAGGGAAGGGGGGTATTTTAAAATAAAATAATTTAATAGTGGACGTTTAAATATTTTCATAGTCCTTCTATTGTAATATGTTCTTTCATCAGCAGTATTAGTTATTTAATTTTGAAAACAATTTTCTGTCAATTAAAAAAAAGATTAAGCAGATACATTAACAACAAAGGACCATCGTTTAACATATGTTAGCTTCAGTTCATAGCTGTCACTGGGCCCTTAAACCCCTAGGCCTCAGATATTTAGAGGGGGAAAATGCTGTGATTTGGAAAAAAACCTTCAACTATCAATTTTGAATGCAGGGGGGGGCACAAAACTAAAAAGTGGGAGGAGGGCCTCCAAAAGTCACCCCACAGCTCTGCTTGTTATATTATAACCATATGATCTAAACAACAAAGGGGATTGTTGGAGGTAAGGTACAGCATCTTTTGTCAGACTAAAATTTCCAAAAAACATTTTTGTTTAATGCCATTTCCCTTTGCTATAAAACAAGATTGTGGTAGCGTCCCTTAATATCAGAATAATTATAGACAGGACTGCTAACATCCTTGCCGATTCTTCCAGCTGCTCTTTGTGCCTGCACGTACATGTGTTTGCTTTTTGTTGCTCCGTCAAGATCATCTGGCTGTAAGTTAAAAAATAAAATTAAAATTAAAAAATGAAAAGTCCAACATTATTGTTAAATCACCTTTGTTCCAGAAGCATAATATGCATAAACAAGTGGATGAATTGTTGTGAAAAAAATTTTGACTCTGAAAAATTTGCATCAAATTTCACTGAATTACTTTGTCACATTGACAGAACTAATATTATTCTCACATAAGAACCTCAAGGAGTCTAAAATATGTACAAAACTAACCAAAGGTAATAATGAACACTGTGAGACTGAACTGAGGTCAAGGGTTAACATAAAATTGTGAGGAGAAAAAAAAACTTTTTTTTTTGTTTTTTTAAATGCAGCATTTTAATATTATACATGCTGTTTTAACCCCATGCCTTCATCATAAAACTGATTAGTTCTGATTATTTTTTAAAGACAGGGCAAAAATCCTACAAGAAGCTGCATGAACTGATCTTGGCTAGATGACAAGTTCATTGTTCTATTTGTCATCGTTGAGGATAAATAGATAAGCTATAGAACACAATATAATTTTTATTTTTTTTGCTCAAACACAGCTTTGTTATCTTCAACTTTTTTTTATGCAGGATAATGTCAGAGTTTGTTGGCTATGCTTGTTGTCTGAAAGAATACAAAAATAACTCTGGTTAAAATGGATGAGGAAGACATGACAATATTTTAATAGTGTGCCATCATAAAGTTTTAAATGGAATGATCACACTTCAGTTAATAATTAACACTGCAGTAATTTATAAAGACACCTAATTATTTTATAAACAACTTCATTTGTTGAAAAATATGCAACTTACCCCAAAGTCTCCCTCAGGCCATGAGGGTAAAGTTGTGTGCACCGGGGATGGAAGGTTGGAAGTAGAAGCAGTGGATAAGGGCCTGTGAGTTGACGAGACTGACGCAGTGGACATTTTACTAGACATTGACAACGTACGACGTCGGAATGGTTTTTGGTGTCTCTCCTGTCCTCCTGCTTCGGACTCTAAGTCATCCTACGAAGTAATTAATGGAGGGATTAATGAAGAGATTAATGAAGCAATTAAGGAAAATATTAAAAATTGTCAGGAGTAACCAAATAATTAGCCCTTATTAGACATGGGTAATAGTACTATAGAAGTTTTTAATTTTTCATTTATAAAAAAAATCAAAACTTTTTACACATTTAAACTTTTTTTTAGATTGCTTTCATAAACACAGAATACAATTTTATATTGTTCGAAAGCACAGAAAATGCAATAAAAAAAATTAAATTCTGTTATTAAAATTATTATTTATAAACTATTTAACACGTTGATTACCATGCTGAAACTTATTTGGACCTTACCTCCTCTGAGAAAATAACCCCTCCCTCACTTTCATCCGCCTTTCTTTTCCTTAAGTACATCATCAACTCTCTAGATCTCTCCTTGAGTGCCTCAATTCTGCTCATGAGCTCAGTGTCATTACGACTGATGTGATTACTGGGGCCCGACTCTAGCTGTAGTTTCATCTCATGTAACTCTTGTTGGACTAAAGACATCTCAAGTTGGATCTAAAGAAATATTGAATAATTTATTTTACATGACACTGAAAAGTCTGTGATCAATTTGTATTATCTATTATTAAATTAAATAATAAAATAAAACTCTAACTTTGAAGCTCCTCTCCCAGAGATGTTTCCAAGGAAATGTGTCTTAATTTCTTGATAGTTGATTATAACTGAATATAGCACTAAAAGAAAGACATTAAACCAAATTCTTTAGTCCCTAATCTAAAATCTGCAGCTCCCGACGAGAGGTAGTTCACAGAAACAGATGCAACAAATCTAATGATAAACACTATAGGGATTTTTAAGCTTATCTGAAAAATCATAAATTGAAAAAAAAAGCAGATTGTGTCTTTTTAAAATCTTTTTTTCCATATCAGTCATCACAACTGGATTGATTGAGCAGAATTTAGATTGTAACACCATCATACCTGTTCAGCTGTTAGGTCGTCTAGTGTAAAGCTAGAAAGCAGATGAATATTTTCATGTCTGTTGGCTGCTGAGTTTTCACCTGGTATTCTTCGGTGGGCAAGAAGCTTTGAAAGATTCTCCAACTTTTTTTTAAACATGAAAATGAAAAAAAAAGATTTTTAAAATCAAGATATTATTTTTATCAAAAATAAATTTCCTTATTAGCTATGTGCCAATAGTTAACATAATAAACAAGCAAATTTTTAATTATTTCAGTTATTAGGTTAAGTAGGAAACAAATATTCATGAAAAAACTTCCAGCTGTCATTAAATGTCTGCTTAGTTTTCTATAATTTATAAACCATTTAAAAATATCATTATGATAAATAAACTGTGGCAACATGTAATAAATGGTCGATGCACATGCAATTTCAGATACCATGACTTTTATGGATCATTTTGCTTTAAAAAAGTATTTATTTATTTGAATCTGGATGGGTTTGATATTTGATTTACATATAAGAACAACATATATTCTTGTGTTATTTATTTCAAACTTTTTGTTGTAGAATAAAAATTTTGCAGGTTGGTTGGGGAACAGAAACACTTTCTGTGCACACAACTAAGAAACTTGTTACCTTAAAGTTGAAATCTCTGGTCAGCAGATCAGGGTTGGGTATTACCGACCGGTCCGATATGACAGCCATTCTGATCTGGTCAGCATAGGTGATGAAAGACACAGTGAGTGGAACTTTATGCAGGGGTGGAACCCAGTACATCATGCACTTGACCTCTCGGGAGTCAAGCTTGAGTATGTTTGTTGGTCCTGCTATGTTTGCCACCATTAGGGTACACCGGCTGTAAATCTAGAGTGAAAAAAATTATACGATTTTAAAAAGAAAAACATATATAAGACTGAGGCATATATATAATTAACATGTAGTAGTCATCCTTTTGGTAACTTGACTCTGGATGTGATCCTATTACAGTAGCCTATAGAAAGAATGTGCGGAAATTTTTATAAAATTCTATTTTTTGTGTGTTACAACCAGGTGACCACTTAGTATTTTGCTGATCAGCGATTTTGTAATTCGACAATTTTTTTATTTGATGATCCCTGCGGAGCTTTGATGACATTTTTCTAAAACTAAAATTTAGTTATATAGGCTAGTTTTTTCAACAAATAGCACAAACAGAAAAGAAACAAACATATTTAAATTTTAAAACGATGTTCAAGCAGAAAATGTATAATTTAATAAGTCTGTAATTCTATCTAATATATATATATATACATATATATATCACAATATATATGTCCCCTGACGACTGCCCAGCTTTGCCTATATACTTTCATGGCTTCCCATCTATGACATGTCAATCGTTTGGGGCTAAATATCACCATTCACATTCCTACAAGCTGGGTCAGCAGACGTTAGACAAATAAGAATAATGATTGCTTACAGACGTGACTTGTCAATGCAAAAGATGGAACACTGACAGAGAAGTCAGTCAGCTTGGTTCAGTAAATATGTTTAATTAATCAGTTAAAATATTCAAAGTGGCTTATCAAAGAGGATGTGACAAGCAGCCAATAATATAGTGCTCCCTTTTACACCCTCCTCCCCCTAAAATTTATTCTAAAAGGCATTTATTTATTTAAGTTAATAATTCAATAACAAAAAGTAATGTTATTGAAATAAATGAAATAATTGAATTAATTGAAAAAGATTAGAACACAACACTACAAAAAATAGTGCTATGTTAAGGATTAATGATGTCTAGAGATGCCCTAGTGGTTCAATTAGACAATTAGTTCAATTGCGAATGGATTAAAAAATTTTTTTTTTTTTTAAATGGCTAAGTGAAATCTATAATATACAAATAGTTAAATAAAATTGCTAAAATTAATATCACAAGGCACCTGATATTAACATTTAACAATTAATTTAATTTACACAGATTTTCAGTTGTTGTTGCATTGTTTTGTAAGGGTTTATAATTATTTTACACTATAATTCATAAACTAAACATAATCTGTACAATAAGGGTCTTTGTTATTAAATTTGACATCATTCCTTTTGATATTTTCAGGGCCAATCTCCACACACCCCCCCCCCCCCAACCACAAACTGAGAATTCAGTTTTACCCCAATGATGCCTTGTTGGCAGAGTTTTTACTTCTTTGATTTTACATAATAATTCATAAACTAAACATAATCTGTACAATAAGGGTTTTTGTTATTAAATTTGACATCATTCCTTTTGATATTTTCAGGGCCAATCTCCACACCCCCCCCCCCCCCCAACCACAAACTGAGAATTCAGTTTTACCCCAATGATGCCTTGTTGGGAGAGTGTTTACTTCTTTGTCACAATGATGTCTTGATGGGGTTGTGTTTACTTCTCTGTCACAATGATGTCTTGATGGGGTTGTGTTTACTTCTCTGTCACAATGATGTCTTGATGGGGTTGTGTTTACTTCTTTGTAACATTGATGTCTTGATTGGGGAGTGTTTACTTCTTTGTCACAATGATGTCTTGATGGGGTTGTGTTTACTTCTTTGTTACAATGATGTCTTGATGGGGTTGTGTTTACTTCTCTGTCACAATGATGTCTTGATGGGGTTGTGTTTACTTCTTTGTTACAATGATGTCTTGATGGGGTTGTGTTTACTTCTTTGTTACAATGATGTCTTGATGGGGTTGTGTTTACTTCTCTGTCACAATGATGTCTTGATGGGGTTGTGTTTACTTCTTTGTCACAATGATGTCTTGATGGGGTTGTGTTTACTTTTTTGTCACAATGATGTCTTGATGGGGTTGTGTTTACTTCTTTTTAATATTGATGTCTTGATGAGAGAGTGTTTAATTGTTTGTCACATTGATGTCTTGATGGGGAGTGTTTATTTCTTCGACCCATTGATGTCTTGACAGAAGATTATCCAGAGTTTTACCCAAATGCCACCTTTATGGTAGTGTCTAGGTTTTTGCTTCAAAGATAATTTGATGGACCAATGTCAAGAGTTTTGTTCCAATGATGCCGTATGGAAGAGTGTCCAGGGTTGTGCCTTGAAATGCAGTTCAGGGAGGACTAGGTCTTAGATGTTCTTACCATAGCTGCTATCACTGTTAGTTCCACTAGGTCTTAGATGTTCTTACCATAGCTATCACTGCTAGTTCCACTAGGTCTTAGATGTTCTTACCATAGCTATCACTGCTAGTTCCACTAGGTCTTAGATGTTCTTACCATAGCTATCACTGCTAGTTCCACTAGGTCTTAGATGTTCTTACCATAGCTGCTATCACTGCTAGTTCCACTAGGTCTTAGATGTTCTTACCATAGCTGCTATCACTGCTAGTTCCACTAGGTCTTAGATGTTCTTACCATAGCTGCTATCACTGCTAGTTCCACTAGGTCTTAGATGTTCTTACCATAGCTGCTATCACTGCTAGTTCCACTAGGTCTTAGATGTTCTTACCATAGCTGCTATCACTGCTAATTCCACTAGGACTTAGATGTTCTTACCATAGCTATCACCGCTAGTTCCACATCTATCCTATACCTGGGTAAGCAGCTTTTAACCACCAACATTTGAGCCCGGCAATACTTTGACTATTAAAAACTCTATCTGTCCCGGTAATACTTTGACTATAAAAACTCTATCTGTCCCGGTAATACTTTGACCATAAAAACTCTATCTGTCCCGGTAATACTTTGACTATAAAAACTCTATCTGTCCATAATACTTTGACTATAAAAACTCTATCAGTCCTGGTAATACTTTGACTATAAAAACTCTATCTGTCCCGGTAATACTTTGACTATAAAAACTCTATCTGTCCCGGTAATACTTTGACTATAAAAACTCTATCTGTCCCGGTAATACTTTGACTATAAAAACTCTATCTGTCCCGGCAATACTTTGACTATAAAAACTCTATCTGTCCCGGCAATACTTTGACTATAAAAACTCTATCTGTCCCGGCAATACTTTGACTATAAAAACTCTATCTGTTGGGCTATGCAACCTAGAACTTCCTATCACTCACCGCCCCCACCTCCTTTTTTCCCCACCTCCTCCCAAATTTAACCTTGGGGGGTCATCGTTTTGTTCCAGTGTGTCTGGGGATAGGATGCAGTGCAGGCAGCTAGGATCACTGATTCGTTTTAACCGGTTTAAGTGCTCGTTCCCTGCAGTGGTTCCTTGTGGTTCATTCCTTGCAGTGGTTCGTTTTGTAAGTGTTGATGACTCACTTTTCACCATTGCCCAGTCTGGGTCTCTGAGTGCATACCCCTTGCAATGGTCCTGCCTACCCACTTGTCATACCCCGTGCCATGCCTAACCAGTTGTCACACCTCTTGGTCCGTGTGAACATAAGATCATTTTGTAAGGAATGTTAATTTATTAATTGCGTGGACTTGACAAGTCTAAACCTATTTTAATGATGGCAGAAATATCGGTACACACAGGAATATTGGTACACACAGGAATAGTACACACAGGAATAGTGGTACACACAGGAATAGTGGTACACACAGGAATAGTGGTACACACAGGAATAGTGGTACACACAGGAATAGTACACACAGGAATAGGGGTACACACAGGAATAGGGGTACACACAGGAATAGTGGTACACACAGGAATAGTACACACAGGAATAGGGGTACACACATGAATAGTACACATAGGAATAGGGGTACACACAGGAATAGGGGTACACACAGGAATAGGGGTACACACAGGAATAGGGGTACACACAGGAATAGTGGTACACACAGGAATAGGAGTACACACAGGAATAGGGGTACACACAGGAATAGAGGTACACACAGGAATAGTACACACAGGAATAGTACACGCAGGAATAGGGGTACACACAGGAATAGTACACACAGGAATTGGGGTACACACAGGAATAGGGGTACACACATGAATAGTACACATAGGAATAGGGGTACACACAGGAATAGTGGTACACACAGGAATAGTACACACAGGAATAGGGGTACACACATGAATAGTACACATAGTAATAGGGGTACACACAGGAATAGTGGTACACACAGGAATAGTACACACAGGAATAGGGGTACACACATGAATAGTACACATAGGAATAGGGGTACACACAGGAATAGTGGTACACACAGGAATAGTACACACAGGAATAGGGGTACACACATGAATAGTACACATAGGAATAGGGGTACACACAGGAATAGTGGTACACACAGAAACGAAAACAACAGAATCATTTTAAAGCATTACCAAGTTTAGTGGTCCCCACAACAGAAACTGACCTCGCGCCACAGCTCCTGGAAGAAGGAAATCGGAAGTAAACAATAAGACAGCCATCTTGTCCCATTGACAATGGCTGCTTCAGCAGACGACTTGAACTTGCCCATCTTGTACTTGGTCTCCCACAGCCGCGGTATCGTCCCCTCTGTATTGGTGGGCAGCTGGACGATCACCATAGAAAATCTGACAAGTGTTAGACAAAGAATGTCATTGAACATATTTCTCTAACGTATATTTACCTTCTGGCGTGTCCTGCCTCTTTTCAAACTCACCCTCCCCCCAACTCCACATGTTTTGAATCAATAGTACTGAGTAAAAAAAAGGGCTGTCGGGTAGCCTGCGTCTTGCGTGACGGTTCAACTCAACTCGTGACGGTTCAACTCAACTCGTGATGGTTCAACTCAACTCGTGACGGTTCAACTCAACTCGTGACGGTTCAACTCAACTCGGGTAATTAGTTAATTTTTTGGGGGGGGAGGCGACTATTATATTAACATGTGAGTAGGGATAGAGTGTGGAGTGCAGGCAAAGTGTGGGTGTTTGGTTAGTGTGGGATGGGGGAAAAGTGTGGGAGAAAAGTGTGAGGTGGCTGAAGAGGGTGGGTGGAAAGGTGGTAGGTTGGGAAGAGAGTGGGGTGGGGGCAAAGTATTTGGGTAGAGCACTGGAGGGGAGAACGTGTGGGGGCAAAGTGTGGGTTTTGAAGAGTGTCGGATAGGGGTCGAGGGTCAGGTGTTTATAGGTGGCGGAGTGGGGCAACGTGTAGGGGTAAAGTTGGAGGTTTGTGTAGGGTGTGGGGTTTGATCAGAATGTGGGATGGGAGAAAAGTGTGGAGTTTGTGTAGAGAGTGGAGACAGAATATAAAGTGTGGGTAGGGTGTGGAGTGAGGTAAAGCGTGGGTTGGAGGTGAGTATGCAGGTAAGCACTGGAGTGGCAGGGCACTTATATTTCGATATGCTGATGGGTGACTTTTTCGTGATTGGTCCACCCAAACAGGCAAAAACCCTAAATACGCCACAGCAGTTTAATCTGAAGGCTACAGGCGAGTATATCGATGGTTAAACAAAGGGTAATAACTAATTTTCCCCGACTGCACAAAGAGGTGTCAAAATTGGTTACCGGAAATTTGTTTGAAAGAAATTTTGTCGACGGAAAATTTATCGTCTGAAGTTTTACGGAAATTTGGTCGAATCTTTTTTTTTTCTTTTCAGTCCAACGCACTATGCTATATAGTAAAACAAAATAATACGCTCAAAAAGAAATTTGACGCAAAATTTTAACGAAGTTGCTATTCGCACCCTGGTACCAGATGTGAGAGGTTGGGATTAAAAAACTATTTAAAATATTATTGTTGGGTTTGTAAGAAAAAAAATGAGGTATCAAATGAAAGATAATTAAATGGACTATATGTTTGTAAACCTAATTCTTCAGTTTAACAAAATTAACTACCACAAATGACATCCGAATAGCATTTAGTCTAAACGGACCCGGACACGCAGCGCCGCCATTCGCACCCGGTCACCCATATGCGAATAGTCGCAGCCAAATTTTAAACGTGTGAACTGAAGAAAAAAAAGATTCAACCAAATTTCCGTTCGATCAAATTTCTGTCTACCAATTTCTGTCCACAAAATTTCTTTCAAACAAATTTCCAGATACGTTCAAAATCGTCATAACATTGGATTTAAAATGTCATCTGGAACCCGGTTTAATTTAAGAACTTTCGACTGAAGTATTAAACAAAGTAAAGAAAGGTTTTGAAAAGTAGTGTAGTAAGTAGTTAAACAGTAGTGGTAGATGGCAAAACCTCCTCCTTTGTCAGTGTTAAGTCAGGGGTCCCCCAGGGCTCAGTGCTAGGCCCTTGTTTGTTCCTAGCATATATCAACGATCTGCCCGAGAAGCTGACCTCTCAAGCAAGACTGTTCGCAGACGACACGGCGGTATATAGGACAATGGTCAACAGCTCTGACCAGAGCCAGCTTCAACAAGACCTCAATCGGTTAGCTGAGTGGGAGATAAGCTGGGACATGGAATTTCATCCCGTCAAGTGCCAAACCCTGTCAGTCTCCAGAAGCAGGTTCCCTCTAAACCACTCTTACGAACTGCATGGCCATATTCTTGAGCCAGTTTCCTCCGTTAAGTACTTGGGTGTTACCATCCAAAGAGAGGTCCGCTGGGACGAGCACATTAACAGTGTGTGCAACCGGGCAAACAAGACCCTGGGGTTCCTAAGGCGCAATCTGAAGATCGGCAACTCAAGCGTGAAAGAAAAAGCCTATAAAGCCTTTGTCCGACCTATTTTAGAGTACGCTTCTACAGTCTGGGACCCATTTACCCAGAAAAGCATAGACAGGTTGGAGGCGGTCCAGCGACGGGCAGCACGCTTTGTCATGAACCGCTACAGAAGCACCTCGAGTGTTGGCAGCATGCTGGAAACACTGGGCTGGTCGACATTGGAAGAACGACGACGACTATCCAGGCTCACCATGTTGTACAAGATAACAAATGGACTGGTGCACTGCTCCGGAATCAAACAGAAACTCGTTAATCTTCCCCCCAGACTGCGACGAAGTCACGACAAACAGTTCCGGCTGGTAAAAACAAGAACGAAGTACAGAAGCTCCTCATTCCTGCCGAAGACAATAGGGGACTGGAACAAGCTTCCAAAAGCAACAGTTGAGGCGGCTACACTCGATACATTTGTGTCTATTGCCTCCTGTATTCCAACCCCCAGTTCATAACACCACTGCTGAGTCGCCCTTGCAACCAGTGAAGTATCCCATTGAAACCCATGGACAGTAACATCGCAAACCTCTCTGAAACATAGGAGCCAGAATGATCAATTCATTGATCGTGGGCCCTTAAAATAAAGAAGATAAAGAAGAAGAATTAGATTTTAAATAAAACAGTGTTGACAACAAAACAATCCTAGCAAAAATAATTATTCAATTTATTACTAACTTGTTCTCCATATCCATCGCCCCGCCATCCATGGATTGGAAGTCGACAGGTAGAGCGCACCTGATGTTGAAGGGATGCGTGATCCCACTGACCTGGAGGTAGGTTCGAATGTTGCCCGCAGTGATGGACAGCAGGAGTTCACTTAAAGAGCATCTTGCCACCTGCTTGACTCGCATGGCGGCACTGAGGCTGTTAAAAAACAACGCATTAGGTAAGTTATTGTGTTACTAGTGCTTTACCAGGTACATTTTTTTACACAGTGTCCTATAGACAGTCCCACAGACAGTCCTACAGACAGTCCCACAGACAGTCATACAGACAGTCCCACAGACAGTCCCACAGACAGTCCCACAGACAGTCCTACAGACAGTCCCACAGACAGTCCCACAGAAGTCATACAGACAGTCCCACAGACAGTCCCACAGACAGTCCCACAGAAGTCATACAGACAGTCCCACAGACAGTCATCCAGACAGTCCCACAGAAAGTCCCACAGACAGTCCCACAGACAGTCCTACAGACAGCCCCACAGAAGTCATACAGACAGTCCCACAGACAGTCATACAGACAGTCCCACAGACAGTCCCACAGAAGTCATACAGACAGTCCCACAGACAGTCATACAGACAGTCCCACAGACAGTCCCACAGACAGTCCCACAGACAGTCCTACAGACAGTCCCACAGAAGTCATACAGACAGTCCCACAGACAGTCCTACAGACAGTCCCACAGACAGTCCTACAGACAGTCCTATACCATACCCATGGCTCTTTATTGATTAATATAATAGTTGCCTTCCCTTAAATTAAAAAAGAATACATCTTTACCGCAGTTCAAAACGTCAAGCATGAAAGCTTTCTGCGTGACATCCTTTTTTTCACTCACTAGGATTAGTATAAAACATGTGTAGTAGGGAAGGTGGTTGTGAAAAGAAAGCAGGATGAACCAGAAGCAAAATAGATATAAGAGATATTCCCCCCCCCCTCCCAACCCTCTCTCCATTCTCCCTCATAATCTAAATTTTGAATAAGAAAAAGTCCCCGATTTCTGAACTTTCCCTCACATTAAAACAAAATCCTTTAAAGCCATTGAGTGGAATGTATTTTGACAAATCTCCACATAGAAGTTATGAAATTTTGAAATACCACCTTCCCCACCCCTCAAAGGAAATCTTTAATCACCGCCATGCATAATAAAAAAAAACCCCCCCCCCCCCCCCCCCCCAGTTTTCTTTGTTGACATTGGCTTACCTGAATGGCTCAGACCAAGCGACGACCATCTCCCCAGATGGGTGGACGTGGTGACCATGAAGCAGGTTGAAGTCCTGACCGCCAAACAAGTAACGTGACAGGAAGGTGACTGGACCAGAGAACAGCACCTTGAACGGTGACGTATTGGCCGCATCTGAGCTGAACGTTGACTTACGACCAGACGTCTTTAGGGGAAACAGACGATAGGATACAAAGGATTTAACAACAACAATATTTTTTTTTCTAAAAATTTAATAACACAAAAGGCTATTTCGGGTTTGTTGCGAATCTTTTGTTAGCTCTTTGTATTAAAAGCAGGAAATGCAAAAATATGAATCATTCAATCAAAAATATTTTTTACATAAATTATTTACGAATAATATTACGTAAATGTAGTATTTCATAGTTCTGAGGGCAAAATATAACTAATGAGGTTTTTTTTAACAAAAAAGAAAAACTTCAAGAAGGAATTACAACAAAAAATGGTCAAATTCCCTAAAATTACTTTTACCTTTTGTGTATCTACTAATGCATTTTCCAGTATATGAACAATAGAGATGCCGTCAGTCATACACAGGTGCATACGGAACAGCAGGACGGTGTCGCGCGGCTCACGGAAGTTGTGAAGTACCTGTGGATGTGAGAGAAATAGGTGAGCTTAGATGTACCTGTAGATGTGAGAGAAATGGGTGAGCTTAGATGTACCTGTGGATGTGAGAGAAATGAGTGAGCTTAGATGTACCTGTGGATGTGAGAGAAATAGGTGAGCTTAGATGTACCTGTGGATGTGAGAGAAATGGGTGAGCTTAGATGTACCTGTAGATGTGAGAGAAATGGGTGAGCTTAGATGTACCTGTAGATGTGAGAAAAGTAGGTGAGCTTAGATGTACCTGTGGATGTGAGAGAAATAGGTGAGCTTAGATGTACCTTTTGATTTGAGAGAAATGGGTGAGCTTAGATGTAACTGTGGATATGACAGAAATATGTGAGCTTAGATGTAACTGTGGATGTGAGAGAAATGCGTGAGCTTAGATGTACCTGTAGATGTGAGAGAAATGGGTGAGCTTAGATGTACCTGTAGATGTGAGAGAAATAGGTGACCTTAGATGTACCTGTAGATGTAAGAGAAATATGTGAGCTTAGAGAGCTTAGATGTACCTGTGGATGTGAGAGAAATGGGCGAGCTTAGATATACCTGTAGATGTGAGAGAAATGGGTGAGCTTAGATGTACCTGTGGATGTGATAGAAATAGGTGAGCTTAGATGTACCTTTTGATATGAGAGAAATGGGTGAGCTTAAATGTAACTGTGGATATGAGAGAAATATGTGAGCTTAGATGTAACTGGGGATGTGAGAGAAATGGGTGAGCTTAGATGTACCTGTGGATGTGAAAGAAATGGGTGAGCTTAGATGTGCCTGTAGATATGAGAGAAATAGGTGACCTTAGATGTACCTGTAGATGTAAGAGAAATATGTGAGCTTAGATGTACCTGTAGATGTGAAAGAAATGGGTGAGCTTAGATGTACCTGTAGATGTGAGAGAAATATGTGAGCTTAGATGTACCTGTAGATTTGAGAGAAATGGGTGAGCTTAGATGTACCTGTAGATGTGAGAGAAATAGGTGAGCTTAGATGTACCTGTAGATTTGAGAGAAATAAGTGAGCTTAGATGTACCTGTAGATGTGAGAGAAATGGGTGAGCTTAGATGTACCTGTAGATGTGAGAGAAATGGGTGAGCTTAGATGTACCTGTAGATGTGAGAGAAATGCGTGAGCTTAGATGTACCTGTAGATGTGAGAGAAATAGGTGAGCTAAGACGCACCTGTAGATTTGAGAGAAATATGTGAGCTTAGATGTACCTGTAGATGTGAGAGAAATGGGTGAGCTTAGATGTACCTGTAGATGTGATAGAATGGGTGAGCTTACATGTACCTGTAGATGTGAGAGAAATGTGTGAACTTAGATGTACCTGTAGGTGTGAGAGAAATGGGTGAGCTTAGCTGCACCTGTGAAGATGGGGTATAAATAGGTTAAATAGATGTACTGGTAAAGATAAGAAGAATAGGTAAACTTATCTGTATCTGTGAAGGTGAGGAAAAATGTGAGTTGATATGTACCTGCAGATATGAGAGATATAATTGAGGTGAGCTTTACTTGTACATATTATATACATTGTTGAGGTGTGATGTACCTGTGGATATGAGATAAATTGTTTAGATGAGATGTACAAGCAGATGTGAGAGAGACACTTGAGGTGAGATGTACCTGTAGATATAAGAGAAATAGTTGAGGTGAGATGTAGTACCTGCAGATATGAGATAGACACTTGAGGTGAGATTTACCTGTAGATATGAGAGAAATAGTTGAGGTGAGATGTACCTGTAGATTATATGAGAGAAATAGTTGAGGTGAGATGTACCTGTAGATTATATGAGAGAAATAGTTGAGGTGAGATGTACGTGTAGATTTGAAAGAAATAGTTGTGGTGAGATGTACCTGTAGATTTGAAAGAAATAGTTGTGGGATAAATCTGTAGATTAAATGAAAGAAATAGTTCAGGTGAGATGTACCTGTTAGATTATATGAGAGAAATAGTTGTGGTGAGATGTACCTGTAGATTATATGAGAGAAATAGTTGAGGTGATATCAGGATTTCCAGATAGGTGGACACCAAAAGGAGGACATAATAAAACACAAAAAAGGACAACAGAGGACATTTTGAATGTTTCATTTGAGTCGTCCCGGATTAAACTCACAGTCAACACAATTTTATTGTAATAACTGCCAATTTAGTGTATCTTACTCTTAGTGAATCGACCAAGAAACAGTCACGTTAAAAAAAAAATTCAATGGACGCCTTTTTTAAATGTCAAAAAAAACTATCCTTTAAATAGCCAATTGTACAATCATTGCCTTATAACCTGTATTAATTACATGATATATTTCTCGGAGGAGACAAATTTTCGCAGCAATATTTTTAGCGATCTCCGAATCTTCCAATAATGTGTGCATCAAACCAGCTGTGCAGGTCATCGAGTTGTAAGATTGATGATGAAAAACTGTATGAAATGCCAGCGTTGCTTCAGCCGCATGTGCATTCAGCAAAATCTTTGAATATTCAGGATGAAAAAAGACGTCAATGTGTTCGATGACGCGGACACCATGATTAGGTTTCTATGTCTCTCACTGTCCACATGGCGCTCCAAGTCAGTAGCTCCTTTGTTGGCAACGGACAAGTAACTAGCGCAAATCGTACACTTTGCCTCATTCTCATTGCGTCCTTCAACGAAGCAAGGAAACTTATTTTTCATTGTGTTCGAGAATTTGCATTTTCTCTTTGTAGAAACCATTTTCATAAACTTAGACGGCAAAAATTACAAATAAAAACAAACAATTTAAATGTGCGTCTTTGTTGTCGGAACCGGAAATAACATTAACATTTTGACCATAGATAATACAGCACAGAGCTAGATTGTTAGAATTGCTAAAATCGACTCGTTCGCAGAAATGCATAGACTTTGCACATTGTAACAACGTAGACATACGATGTAATTGTAATAGTTGTAACAACGATACATACAAATTATAATACAAAATGTAAGAAAAGACGGACATTTTACAAGATTTCAGCTTTGCCTGCCGGATGGAGGACATGTCCTCCTTTTGCCGGACGTCTGGCAACCCTAGGTGAGATGTACCTGTATATGAGAGAGATACGTGCGAGCTGTGTTATATTCAAATGCCAGTCATGTTTTAAAACATGGTTTCATACGATCATCGTTTTAAAACATGGTTTCATACGATCATCGAAGGGCTACAATACTCCTCACACTCATTTTTCAGGTCCATACTCATATTATTTATAGTGTAGGGGCCGACTGAATAGGCCTATAAACTTTGCTAACAGCCTTTCAGATGGCATATTTGTAATTTCCAATTGCTCATACGCCTCTCATAGTAGTTCAATAAGTTCGGGTGCAAACTGATCTAAGCGAGTGGATCTAGTGATTAATGAAACTTTGATATCCTCAAATCATTGAAATATAAAGAAAGTTTACATGACTCATCTCAGTTTTTTTTAAAGTTTGGAGATTTATTCAAACAACATCCCATCACATTCATCTTCAAATTCAATCTTTTATTTGGACATATTAATCGACATTCCTTGAAGCTAACATAAATGTGTAAATAGTCACCAGTTGGCATCGTCCCCGCCTTTTAATGACTTGCCATTTTTAATGTAAGTACTTGAACATTGTTGTACTTGAACATTATGATAGTTGAACATTGTTGTACTTGAACATTATTGTACTTGAACATTATGATAGTTGAACATTGTTGTACTTGAACATTATGATAGTTGAACATTGTTGTACTTGAACATTATGATAGTTGAACATTGTTGTACTTGAACATTATGATAGTTGAACATTGTTGTACTTGAACATTGATGCATTCTGCTTATTTCTATGTTTAACTTTACCTTGTGGGCTACCGCACGTCAAATGTCCTTTCGGGTGAAATTTCAAAGCCAAACCTCGGACAGAACTTAACCATCATTAGACTTAACGCGTAGAGCAGCAGCTTCAAGTTGGTCAGACTTTGAGTATCTGGTCAAGTGTCGTGCTAATTTGCTGTTTCCTTAAAACAGCCGATACGATATTTGGTGTGGGTATTTATTTTCATTTTGTTTGTTCTTATCTCATCAATTTCGCAGCGTGGCCATTTAATACTGACCTGGATTTCCCAAAGCGGGTGATCGGTAGACAAGGGCTGTGTCGCCATCTTGGAAATGAACTGCTGTAGGTCCTCCAAGGTCTCGATATATCCGGGCATGTTGTACACGTGTTTAGCCACCATGAACTGCTTGTCAGTGACCCAGGCTTGGCCACAGCAGAACGGCACGACCTGAAACATGATTAATATAGGTCACGTGGAAGTAAATATAATCAATATAACCAAAGATCAAACTAGATAACCTTTTTTTAAGGTTTAAGAATTTTGGTTTACACGAAAGATTTGTAGCAAACTTTGGCTACCTAGAATGTGTGGAAGATGTGTAGCATATTTCGGCTATGCATAGCACGTGGAAGTGGTGTAGCATATTTCGGATATCTATAGCACGTGGAAGACGCGTAGCAACTTTCGGATATCTATGCACGTGGAAGTGGTGTATCATATTTCGGCCATTTAGAAAGTGTAGAAAATGTGACGCAAATCAATGTGTATGTAGGCCTAATTCCAAGTTAAATAAAAGCCTGATTATTTCTTTTTTTAGTGCTACAGTATTCTGCCAGACTGCTAGTTTTAGTTGTTATTTGATTCTATGCAAACGTTCGTGTTTTTAACAATAACAGTCCGAAAATTGATAATAAAATTTGTACCAAAATCTATGTGACGGACATCCTTGTTATTTATGTTGTGAGGTTTGATGTCTTTGAATCCATTATTTAAGTGATGGAGAACAGTGGCACATCGCCCCAGCGTTGCAATGAACTATATTTGAGCATTCATTATTGGGTTAAGGGTGCTTGACACATGTTCAAAACTATAGTGTTACTCGATAGAGAGAGGAACCACAACAAAAAATAAGATGTCATCTCATTTCAAAAATAAGATGTCATCTCATTTTAAAAATAAGATTTCATCTCATTTTAAAAATAAGATGTCATATCATTTTTAAAAAAAAAAGGATATCATCTCATTTTAAAAATAAGATGTCATCTCATTTAAAATGACGTGTGAAATAAACAACCATGTTCTACGTTGATCAACTTACCTTCTGTGTGAATCTTGGATAGACCTTCTGACCATGGCGGTTCTCCACGGAGAGGAGTCTGGAGTCGATCAAGTTTCTAATCCGGTCAGTGTCCAGACCTTTCTGAAGGACCATCAGACTCTGCGCCACCGAATGCCCGGCACCCTGACCACGGCCCAGCCACATGAGCTCAGAGCTGGTCAGGTGGGTGTGGCAGATGCACAGGCAGCACCGCCCCCACAGGGACGCCCCGCAGCAGCACAGCCAGCTGCACAGCCTTTTCGTAAAAACGACGAGTGGGACGACCACGAGGATGATGACCAGCATGGGCCACACCAGGAGGAAAGAGAGCATGAATAGCAGGATGGCAGAAAGCACGGCCAGGAAAAGGCTGGAGTCGGTTGGGTGGACGATACGGCGGTAGGGGGCGTTGGGGAAGCCGAGTTGAACTTTGAGGTCACGCTCGGCTTCGCGGAGCCGAAGATCGCTGACCAGTGGGTCCGCTGCGTCTGGGAGATCAAGGCATACGTCCGATCTTGCATCAGACGAGGTGAAGGAGGATGAGCTGGGAACAGTAAAGAGAGGGGAGAAGACAGAATCGGGGGTGCCAAGTTGATTGGAGGAGTAGTGGCGCAAGCGATCAGAGGAGTTGACTTTTCTGGGTCTGCCCTGGTCTACAGTGGCAGAGGTGTATATGTGTGAGGGTAATGCCGTGTCTGCTTCTCGCTGCTTTGTCCTTGGAAACGTTTGAAGATAAGGCATCGTCTGGGGTCTGGGCGCAGGCTGAATGTACTCGGGTTCCCTATGCAAAGTCTGCTTCGCCAATGATTCTCGATGTTTGGATAATAAGGGCTCTTCAGCTGAGGTTTCGTAGCTTTCCGAGAAAGGTATCGATCGCCTAGCATCCAGGCTAGGTATGGAGCGTCTCGGTTCGATGCTAGTGACCCTGTCATCAAGGATCTCGTAATCGACTTCCAGCGGATCCTGATCTATGTGACCCCTGGAAAATTTCTTACGAGGGCGCGAGGGAGTCGATTGTCGAGGAGAAGACGAGGCGAGACTGGAAGGTCGGGTTATAGAATGAAGCAGCTTCAGTGGGTTGGATGATGGTTTCGGCGCTGAAATGACTGACGTTTTTGGCGGGGCGCTGGACGTTGACACGCCTTCAATAGAAAGCTCTCCTTCTATTTGACCATCTTTCCGTTTCAGGTCAGTTTTCCTGTGCTGTTGCTTAGACTGCTGCATAGATGTCTCCTCCTCTGCACTGTAAGTTTTGCTGGCATCGCTATCCCGGTTCAAAGTTTTTGCATGGGACTTTTTCTTCCCCGCGGATTCCGATGACTTTGCGGCACGCTCGCTGTTGATTTCCCGCGGAGCCGACTGAGATCTCACCTTCCTGTCCTTGCCGGCCTTTCCCCCCGACGAAGACCCTCCTTCTCTGACCGTCACGGTTTCAGCATCCGTAACAGCCATCGCTACCTTCTCGAAGGCGAGCTTGGCTTGTGAAAGAACTGACAGCCGCCGTTTGAATTTCGGCGAGTCCAAGATATCCTCAGACACCTCGGATTGTTTCTTGCTATCCTCGCGCGATAGTCGAATAACAGGGATGGACGCGCGACGCTCGTGGCTTGGGTTCCCCGCGGCTGTGCCAGAAGGCTGTGAAACTTTTGAGCTCGCTTCAAGCGTCTTGGGCCTGGTTGCACTCTTCGCCCGTCGCTTGTTTTTCGGAGTTTGAGACTTTGCTGCGCTTTCAACAGCGAGCGTGTCTTTCGGCCTGCGAGATTTCTCGTCCGCCAGTTTTTCTTTAGAAGCGCTCGTTTTCTTATCGGGTTTTGAATTCGCCGCGGCGATATCTTTCGAGGATTTATTCTTATTGGCGCTGTCTTCCTTTGCTTGCTTTGGCTTCTTGGTGGGATCATCTTTTGGGGCCTTCGGTTTGGTGGCCACGTCGTTACTGCGTCTGGGCTTCGGGCTGGCGCTGCCGGCTCCTTGCTGCTTTTTAAGCTGCGATAAAACATCTCCGATACCCAGCCCGGCCCCGCCTTCGCTGAAGGGGCTGAGCTGGGAGGGGGAGCTCTTGGAGGGCGTGGCGGCGCCCCCATGAGCCCTGGGTTTAGTGGTGGATCTTCCGTCCTTGGCGGAGTTGCGGTCAAGGTCGGGGTCACGCCGGTTTGAGGCGTTAGACTGAGGCTGTCGGCCCCCCCGGCCTTGAGCGGTGTCCATGGAGTGGGTGGCCCATTACCGCTTTCTCCACATAACTGAAATAGTTAGGATTGGTAATAAGTACAGAGTGGCAGAGATTGAAATGGTCTTACGTACATATACGTACATAATATTTATATATATATATATATATATATATATATGGACGTAACCAGATTTTTCTTTACAACCGGTCCATGTACATTTAGAGAATACCTGACGGGTCCAAGTGGTAAAAAAAAAA